TAGGACCTGTGACTGGTAACCATTTCTAAAGCATTTATAACCTACGTGCAGAAACATTGCACAAAGTCTCTGTTTACTGTATTTACAATTTCATGCAAATTCTGCGTAATATTTCTTTTGTACATTCTTAATGTGAAGAGCATTTTATTTCACATATGCATTTTATCTTACCTAACCAACCATGATGCAGACTGATGACTTTCAGACATAATCAGTTATATATCAACTTCCAATATTACAAAGACTTTCTCCCAAATCTAGATTGGTTTAGCTACCTCAGTGACTTCAGAACTGTGCCTTTACCACTTAAGGTATTATTCAGACCTATTCACACTCATTCAGAACTGTGCTTATCACTTAAGCACCAAATTGAACACTGATGCAATTTTCTGTATCTCCTAACAGTCCAGAGAAACTCTCTAGAGTTTTAAGTCCTCTGTTAATATTCCATATTTTGTACAGACAGGTTACTTTGTTTGATACTGACTTGTGATGTCAACACAGAACAAAAAGAGGAGATGTTTCTCTGACAAACTTCATGAGGCTACAGAGAAGGTGACAGCCAGATGAGAATGAAGCTCCTGGGTCACTGAGAGAGAAAGGACAACAGCTGAGTCACTCCTTCTCTGCAGCAATGGGAAAAGCAGCCAGGAAATGGAAAGAGAGATGAGGCAGCACAATGTGATAGGAGAACATTTCCAGTCTAATGAATCATGTCCCCCAGCATGGGAACAACACCCTACAAGTAATTCCAACATCCCCTTCTCAGTAGCTTTTGAGACTGACACCAGCAAACCATCATCTTCCAAGTATTTTATGCTGCTTTGCAGCTTTCTGGATATTAAAACCTGTATAGACTTTGCACTATCACAACAGATAACGAAAGTGACTTCAAACAAGTATTTTTTAACTTCTTTACTCCTCAGATTTTTATTACATCCATAAAGCCTGGAGCAATGGCACTGATTCAATAGCACTAAAATACTATGAATAGGGGTACTGACGCAGCACATACCTTTCTCTCCTTTAGGAGGTTACACCGTGGCAGGACATGGTTTCCAGCATTTCAATCAGTTTTTGAAAATTAGAAAAAAAATGGTTTTATTAGCTTTGCCTAATTGGTACACATTTCCTTACCAGACCTTATTAGGCGTATTTCAAGTAATATCTCAGCTGTAATTAAAGTATGATGTAAGAGAAGTCTTAATTCTTTCTGCATTAAGTGTTACTTCAGGCCTTTATCAGCAAGATAAAATTACTCGTTTCATTTAAGATAACTTCCCCCAAAGATAATACTTTGCAGATGATAAAATTGTTTTAAATAATTGCTATCTAAATTAAGTTGGACTCCCACAGTAAACCAGGAAGTTATATAGATTTTCTTCACATTAGAATAGAAATTGCCTCCCAAAAGGCATAAATTCTCAGTATTCACAGAACTCACCCTGCACCTAAAGCTCAAACCTGTGAAAAGCATGCCTGCCCAAGGAACAAAACTGCCATTAAACCTTCCTTCTCTGAAACGTCTACTGGCATTTTAAAATGTGTTACAAAAAGTCAAGATACATTTGACAATTCTGAAAACATCCTAAAAAATGCTATGAAATACCAAGTGTTCCAAGATCATTGCTCATTGAACTGAGAAGAAAACAGTGAGATTTTCCCATTCTGGTATCATTTTCCTTGCTGACACATGCAGTTGTGTCTGTCCATCCCTCCTACTGTCCAACAGTTTGTACAGATGCCACCATCCTTCCACCAAGTTTCACCACAGTAAAGGACCAAATAGTAACTTAGAGAAAAACTTTCACGTAGTTTGGCTTTTAAGTAGCTCATGTAATTTTAATCAGCAATTCCATCTGATGAAAACACGTAAATGTTCTTGTGAATGTTCTCAAATTGATTTACTTTATCACTGATTTATCAAGTGCCCATCACACATTCAAAACAAACTTCCACTTCTGTAAAAACTGTGACAGAGACAGGAATAAGTCTTTACAATAGGCACAATCATGATCAAACGACATAGAAATTGGACAGCCAAGGCAAACAAGTCTAAACATACTTCCTTTCGGACTATATACAAGCTTGAAGTCCATGTGATCTGGGCACTACTTAAAAAGTTTTTTCAGACTTGAATCAGCCATTGCTTTGCAGAAAATGCATTATGAATAGAAAGAGTAAATTACAGTTGCTTGACTTACTTAGAGAAGAACAGGAAGAAAACCTATGCCATGTTGGATGTATTAATTTTGCCATATGTACTTATTTATCTCATTTGTGCAAGTCAAAGTAATGATGGTCAGCATGTGCTTTTTCACAACAAGTACACTTTCTAGGACGTGTCTGAATTACCTGGATGATCCAATTTAATTAAATTGTTTTCTTACAATGGGAAAAACATCTATTAAGACAAAGCCTGTGAGCACATCTGAGTAACTCTGAACCATAACTCTGCTGTAATTGCATGTTTTATGTGGATATATGCTGCAAACTTAATACCTGGGTTTTATGAAAGCCAACCTGGCAAGCACAAAGACCTATACAAATATTAATCAAAACAAAGCCCATAGTTTTGGAGAACTTTTTTTAAGTAGCCAGAATCTCCAGTCATATTGCCAATTCCAGATAGGTAACAGTGTCTAACCTCTCTACACCCACCCATGGACACTAATGTCATGCCCATATGGAACTGCCACCATTAATCTCATCTAATACACACAATTAATTCAGTCTGTCTATCTATCTAGGCTCTCTTCTCCTTTAGAAATAGACTGCATGGCTGCATACTTTTCTCTGAAGTACGACTTATGAGGCAGTTTAAAATAAAAATGCTGCAGTTACACACAACCACTAACCCAACTTTAACCATTAATCTAGCACAAGAATTTAGCTGGTCAAGTATAGTGACACTGCTCAATGTTCTTGGGGACCACAGAGGTTTTTGCAGTTACTGTCTTACATTACCATGCCAGACTACTAACCTATAGAGTAACCATTAGTCTCTCACTTTGGAGTTGCAAAGCGTGCCTCAGACCAAATTCCTATTTCCCTGCACGTCTGAAGCAAAGTGTGTTATTCAGCAAAGGAAATCAGAGTGCATTCTCTGTTCATGTCAAATTTTAAAAAAAATCATATACCTTTTTAATATAGGAAGTTTTCTATTTTTATGTCACTGTGTCAGTTACTACTACTCAAAGCGATATAAGGACATACCCGCTGGAACATGCCAGGAATTACTTTTGTTAACTAGATGACAACTCCTTCCGCTCGTCTGAAAACTAACCAGGTCTTCCAGTGTGCATTTCTCAGTTCTGTGTCAGGCTCGAGGTTATCACAGGTTCCCTTGGTGTTACGGTACAAGATCCTACCTTAATAAAAAAAACACATCATGATTGCTACTTACAGACACACGGTGTTAGAAGTGCTAGAAACCCCAGGTATTTCTACTCGGTCAACTCTTGCTCAGAGGTTTAACAGCTAGCCGGCATGAACACTTCTACAGAGAGGCCCAAAAACGACAAAGATAAACAGAGATTTTAAAGAGCAATTTTATTCCGCAATTTCAACGTTAAGTATATTTCCAAAGGATGCAGCATGAACAGCGGAGATGGTTGAGAACAGAAAATCAACGTTCTTCGCTCATCATTTCTCTGTCTGTACAGCACAGCCATAAAGCCTCCTGACCCTTCCGCCCTTACCCTTATTTAAGGTTACGTTCAGGTTACAGCCCGGCTGATTTTTCCGCAGCTGTTAACGCTAAGTCCCAACCGTAAACCCTGCAAGATTTAATCGCGTGGCTTGTTCATCATCCACCGCCCCGGTACTGTCCCCCAAATACCGCCAAGTCCTGCGGGGGTCCTTGGCGGATCCCGCAGGCCGCTCCCGCCCCGCAGCGCCCATGCCGGGCGGGCATGGCCGGCACCTTCCCCCGCACCCGCGGCCTCCACGTGGCCGCACGGAGAGCGAGCGAGAGAGCTCGGCAGGGCCGGGGCGCGCCCCGAGCCGCACTCCCGGCAGGAAGGCTGCCAGAGGGAAGCGGGAGAGCGAGCACTGGGCAGCTCCGCGCGGCTCGAACCCCCCCGGCCAAGGGGGCCCGCCGCCCCCCGACCCCGCCGCGCCCTGCCGCCCCCCTTTCTCTCTCCGCCCGAGCAGCCCAGGCAGCCGCGGCCCCGCCGCCACGTCCCGGGCCCCCGTTCCGGGCGCGGGGGCGGGGAGGATTTACCTGCCGCATGGTCGCCTCCCGAGCAGAGGAAGAAAGGGGGTGGGGGGATGCGCCAGGGCCGCGGCGGCGCCTCGTGTTCCGCCGCCTCGGGGGCAGCGCGGGCGCGGCCCCCCCGCCCCCCGGCCCCGCGCCCACCCCGCGGCCCCGCGCCCCGCCGCCACGTGATGAGGCGGCCGCGCCGCCGCGCGCCCCTCTCGCCGCCCCGCATCGCGGGCGAGCCGCTGTCCGCTGCCGCCGCTCGGTCCCCGCCGCGGCTCCTCGCCCGCACCGCCGCACCGCCGCCCCCCCGCCCCGGCGCGGCCCGGGCCGGCCGCCACCCGCTCCGCGGCGCCGGGCGGCTGTGGGGGAGGGCATGTAAACAAATGGGGTTTTATAGCTACCTCACTCGAGTGCCGTGTGCATCTCCCTCTCCGCTCGGTACCAAACCGCCGCGGCGCCTCCTCCTCCTCCTCCTGCCGCTCCGCCGGCGCTATTCACAGACCCGGCTACGCCGCGCTCGCCCTGCACACGCGGCCCCGCAGCCCGCGCTGCCCAATGCGCAGCCATTTCCTCCAGCGCTACGAAAGTGGCGTAGCGGCCCTGCCCGCCCGCCCCTCGCTGCGGCGGCTCCGCGCACGGCCCGGCAGTGGCCGCGGGGCCCGGGCAGCGCCGGAGGGAGCCCCGCGGGCCCGGGGGAGTGCGGCCGCCGGCCCTGCCCCGGTCCAGGGAGCCCGGCCTGGGCGGCTCGGGGGGAGCCGGGGCCGAGCTGTCGCCTCTGCAGCCGCCTGGGGAGAGGGTCCGTCAGCAACAACGGGGCGTTTCGTACCTTCCTGTCGAGGTACCTTCGAGGCCGAGGTGGGCACTAACCCCCGCTTATTTAACTCCAGAAACTCCTGCCAGGCTTGCTCATGCCGCCAAAGCCTGCTCAGGCAATGAACGTCTCCCCATGCCGAGGTGGAGCCCCTCGTCACCACACCACACATTTCATTCCTAGACAACAACTACAGAGCTAAATAAAGCCCCCAAACCAAACCGAAGCAAACCTTCGGTAAATCAAAACCCTCGCTAGCTCAACACCGGAGATCAGGGGGCATTTTGGTTTATAACGTAAGACATACAACATAGTGGAGTCTTTCACAACAAACCATATTTTAAAATAGACCTGCGTGTTTTGGAATAGTTATTTATAGAAAGCAACGTTCAAAGGCTGAAGCGCAGCTACAGGAACGTTTCAGTTCAGTTTTAGGCTGTTTCATTTTTCTCTTGGAGAAATTTGCATACAATTTCCACATTTTCTTCCAAAAACAACAAGTGTTTCCATTGCAGGCTTCAATCTAGAAGTCTATGTATCTAGAAGTAAACCGACCTTCCCTGTATTTGTTAAGGATGCACACGTTTGTTTTTTTTATATTACTGAATTGGAACTAATGTAATTATTTCTAGAAACGTTCCTTTGTTAAACCAGATGATTCACACCAGCACTGCCTTCCTTAAGTCTGGCCTGGCAGAGACAGAGTCCTATCTTACCCTGTTCTAGTCCTGTTTGAAGTCCAGGGCATATCGCATGGTTATCCACCCCAAAAGCCTCCCAAAGTTACATGATTTTTTTTTTTTTTGCTTGGTGATGTGTAAAGGATTACTTCTGTTTGTTTAGCAACCAAAAGACAGTTGTTACCTGTAAGAGTCCAAAAACCACATAAGCATTAAACTGAAGTCATGGTGCAAGAGAAAACCAGAGTAAACTTTTCTAGATACAGTAAATGTTCATTCTAATGCAGGTACTGTAACAGACAAAGACACACAGACCTCTCAAATGACCTAAGATCACATCAGCTGTGTGCATTACAGTACACCAATTTTTTGGTATGTGATGCTAAATCTTTTCAGAACTTTTCTGATTATTCTGTTGTTTACCCATGAGGTTCACATCTCAGTGACAGAATTTATAATTTCATATCTCCTCCAATGTCTTTTTCTCTCTTCAGTATTTATTTTTGGGGGAAAAAATAACACAATCTCTCTTATTTTTTTTGCTGTATGTCTGACCAAATCCATCACTAGAATATAAACCATGCTAGTCCAAAGTCAGTAGCTCACATCAAGTTTTAGGGACTGTTAAACAGTGGTTATGAGGTAGTATACCAAACTGTTGCTTCAGATCATTTTGTATATTGATTTGAATGACTTTTACCTTGAAGCAGGTCTCCTACCTCTCAGAATTTTAGCACAGCAAATAAAGCACAGATCTGATTATGATGTTGGTTATTAGGCATTTATAACAATGCCACTGTTGATCACTAGACGTGACTGATTTGTATTGCTGTTTGCTCTAGAAATAGATCTATTGAGTGGAAAAAAAAAACCCTTTAATTTTCTGTTTCCATGAGAGTTTATTCAGAGGGAGTTGTACTCAGCAATAAATAGAGCATATGGGGTTTGTTAGCTTTTTGGAGTAAAATTCAAGTAATGCAAAATCTCCTTAAAAGAAATCAAGAACTCTAATAAAGCAAAATACTGATGCTACACATTGACTTTCCAGAAACTCACCCAGCCAAGGTGTACCAATAAATAGATCTCTGTTAGTGGGTTCTCCTCCCTTCCAGCTGTTACCCACTCTAATATGTATCTGTTCATTTTAAATCCAGAAGGGGCCATTAGCAGGCCTGCCAGCACTCTGCTAACATTTCCTGCTAACAAATGAGTCGCATTTGTAGTTTGAGTTAGAACGTTCCCCGTCAGCATGCTCATGGCTTTCTCCTGATGCATTGAAAAGCCTGCTTGTAGAATATCTAGAATATTTCCCCCGTAGTTTTACTCTGTATCTTGCATTTAGGCTTCTTCTCACCAGTTTTAACCACACATTTTAGTGCAAGAACTGCACATCGGTATTTGAGGAAAAGAAAGTTGGACTTTCTATAACATAGGTTCAGAAACCCAAACCAAAAATTATTAGATCAGGCATTTACCATGAAGAAAAGCTCAGGAGTGTGTTTCCCAACTTTCTGTGCTGCAGGGAAGGTGGAACAGCAGAGCAGGGCAGCCAGCACTGCAAGAGTGCTGAGAGCTTGAGAAAACACAAATGTATGCAACAACCCCAGACTGACTTTTCAAGCTTCAACAAGAATATGTTACCATACTTCTAGAACAGAACTGGTTTGCTTTTTTTTCCCCACTTCTCTCACAGGGCACTTCCTTGCTAAGTAGCACTGCAGAGCACACGCTCATATTTTGGGTGGAATAAGGGAATATATATACAGATCTCACACGCTGATTTCCTGTCCCCCCCCTTGCAACAACCCAGTTGCAGATGAGGGGGTAGAAGGTTGACATGTATGTGTATAAAAAAATAAGTAATTTTTTTAGGCAAATTATTAAAAAAAACCCCAAAAAACAAAAACCCCAACAAAACCCAAAGCTTCTCAGTAATTCGGCGCACAGATTTAACTCTTACATCCTGATAGTGCCTCTGACTGTAAACAGAAGTAAGTCTTGTGAGTATTCCTTGGATAATTGGAACAGTAGTACTGAAAAATATTTTGACTGGGAGACATTAATTTAGAAAGCTGGTAGTTGAAGGTGTACACAAATCTTGTTATATAAGTGGGAGAAAAACGTCACTACTTGGTGTCAAAATGAAGTTTTGTACCCCTCTGGAAAATTCAGCTTTTTTTGGTTGAAGAGCCCAACTTTATTTTGTTGCTTTTGAAATATTGATGTCTCATGAAAAAGCCAAGGTAATGGCTTGAAACATCAGCTTCCTCCTTTTCTTTTAAATCGTCTTGTCCAAGATTTAATCAGAATTTAAGGCACTCTGAATGCTAACATAGCATGGTTTGTGGCACATGTTACACAAATACTTTCTTTGCTGCTCTGTTTCTGTCCCTGCCTTTCATTCATTCTGGGAGCCTGAAACAAAGTCAGAAATGCCGTTTCTTCTATGACAATGACCAACAAGTATGGCTCAGTTTGCTTGAGAAGTTCAGTATTAGAATTAACCTTGAGAATGGCTAACAGGGCACAGCTGTTGTCAATGCAGACTTGCCAAGCAGGATTTTGCCCAGTTCCTCAGGAGTGGAAGACCTTTGCTACAGGAAGCTTGCTCACAAGTCCACTGACAAGAGCTCTGAAGTGGAATACCAGGGAATCATACAGAAATCATAATTTCCTACTCTGTGTCTTAAATATGACCTACTGACAGCTGTCCCTTCTGCTCTGAATTTACTGATGTATTTTCTGTCTAACCATCTCTGGTTAGTTGTGTTTTATAGATTGACTTGTACTTTCACAGCTTGGCAATTCGAGCTGTGCTCGTCCCCAGGCACTGAGATTGGTGCTGAAGCAGCAGAGACTTTGCTTATGGCAAGGACAGAAGGGAAGTGTGGAAGCATCAGGGGGAACTTAAACAAGCAGGTAGTGATTCTGTGATTAAAGCTTGTGCTTGGAAGTAGGAAGTGATGTCCTCTGGGGGGTTTCACTTCCTCAGGACTACTTGGTTTGTTTGCAGTGAATTTAAAGCCCAAGTTTATTTAATTCCACAGCCGTATATGTATAAAAATGGTACTTTTAGTAGAGACTATATATGCTTTTTATTCTCCTTCCTGCCAAACTGGGTGCTCTCCCTTAAGCCTTGCTTGGCAGGTTTCTTTAATTAGCTCCGGTTGGTTTCAACTCTGTGAATTCCAGTGGTAAATCAAAGTAGATCTGGCTAGTTTTGCATGAACTAGTAAGTACAATTTGAAAGTTACTTTAGTTGTAAGATGGGGAAGGAAAGGGAAATCCATCTGAGCTTTTTTGTTTTGTTTCTAGAAACCATTCTTACCCTTTTTCTCTTACAACATGTAGATACCTTTCTGTTCAGACAGTATCCAAACATTTGTGTAGGTTTTGAAGCAAAAGTATCAAAATCAATGATACCATCTGCATAATTTTAAATATGGTATCAGTGTAAGTACCGATGGGAAGTCAGTTCAAACAGAAATCTAGGAATTTTTTTATTTATTATTTTTAACATGCCAAAACAAGATACAGGTTTTAAAGGTCTTTGTTTTAAAAGATTTTGAATTGGTCTCTTTGTGGGGAAGGGCTGGGCTTTTATGTTTTGTTTTTAAACATGGGCTGACATTTTTAGAAAAAATATAAATCCTTCTTCATTGGCTGTAGACATAAGGTTGCATAAACACTAAAGGACATAAGCAGAAGGGTGTTATGCTGCAGCAGCAGCTGAAGTCTTTGGTGCACTCAAAGGTTTCTCTGCAATTTGGGAAACAATATGACCTTTGGCTAATTTTGCAAAGCTAGCAAACACTGGTATACTTATCCACAGGAAGACTTGCCGGCAAACTTGACTTTATTAAATGACTCTCCCTTTGTTTTCCTATTATTTGCTTTAAACATAACTGTCTAGTCCTGCTCTCTAAAGCAGTCAAAAGCCCTTTCATTGGATCTGAAACAGGCAGGATTTGCTGGTTACAGGTCTGGGATAAAATTCAACGTGGAAGCTATTAGAAAGTGTGTCACAGCCTTCTTCCTGCCGTGCAGACTCAGGTTTATTTATTTTTCTCCCTTCCTGCCTGCCTGCAGAAAGCACCTGTTTGCTTGTGGCACCTTGTCTGTAGGCAGTGGTTGCAGGGAGATAGCATCTTCCTTCCAAAGGATGTGGTGGGCGGGAAAGGCCAGTCAGCTGCTTCCTGCAGCATGAGTGGGGTGAGATTGCAGAGCACAAAGAACTTCTGGTCATGTTCACACAAGACCTCTGTATCAATAAATATGGATATTATCTGTTGGAACCAGGCAGGGTTTGAAACATTAAACAAAGCTGTGCTAGCTGGCTGGGTGGGGTAGAAATTCCTCTAAAG